ACTTCCTATACATATAGCTCCTACTGACCACCCAGATGTTACTCTATGATGTTAAGTATGAATATGGGGAAGCATTGCACTGGACTATTCTGTTTTTCTGTGATTGACAAGTTCTCAAAAATTTCAAAGAGGTGATATTATGAATATTTGGGAGGCAGGATTAAAATATTGTGCGAAGGCATCCCACAAAGACTTAACGTTACCAAGTTTAGGTTCATGTTCAAATTTCAAGAGAACTCCTAGGTTTTTACTATACGTGTATGAGGCAATCTTCATGTATCATCGAGCTGGGAAGGAAGTGGAAACTTGTAACATATGTGAATGTGTTTCAAAATTATTCTTTGAGAAAGGAGAATTCCATGGAATAGAAGAATTCATAGTCGTTCAAAATAAGAGAAAAGAAATCACATTCATATGGTTTCTTTGATGGAAGAATTCACAAAATTCTGTGATGATGTGTCCCTAAAATTCAAAACCTTCAAATTTTGGAATCATTTCTTAAGGGAAGATGTTCTGTCATACATTAGTTTGTATGTATCGATTAAAAAAGAAACTGGGATTTACGTATGGCTGCTCTCAAGAGTATGGCCCCTCTTTTTCATGCCTTTGACTGTCATAATTATTCTTGTATAATCCCCTTGCATACTCATACTTTGAATGCTTTACCCCTAATGTCTCAGAAGATGTTAAGAATGGAGCTTTCGTTTGAATCTTACTGCAGAGCCAAATTCTTAATGACATCTCTGTGAAGAAACCTGTGAAAAGAAAATTCCAATTGAAAACATTTGCGAGAGAATTTGTGTCTGAAAAAAGTTACTGATCTTGACAAGGAATGCAAATTAATAGCTCGTTGCTACAAAAGGACAATTTCTTATTCTCAAGAGAATCAAACTCCTATTTCTGAACTTTGCCAATTTTCAAAATATCCAAGGGCTAGTTGTAACCAAGATGGTTTAAAGGTGCCAAGTCGGTCATATACGATTTATTTATTAAACAAGAAGTATTCATCAAGTTATGAAATAGTCTCCTCTTCTTTCAAATATGTACACAGCACTTGTGTGATGTAGAAGGTATGAATATCCTATACAGATCTCCTTTAAACATCTGAAAAAATTTGCTGAATATGTCTCATTTTTAGTTGCTAGCTAGGTGTTGCCTTTTTTTAGGAAAGGTGTACAAGAAGTCCGGATCCTTTTTGATGAAGTTGGAACACAGGGTATTTCACCTAAAGATGTAGAACGTAGTAGAAGGGATCAAACAGAAGAAGAATGTGATTGTGTGTGGGGAGCGATAGGATTCAGAAGTTATTTGCTGGGACCCACCATAACAGAGACGTATACCAGAGAGTGAGCACTTCCTTCGTCGAGCTGGGTCTGCAGCAAGGACTGACAAACTAAACAAGTCAGTGGAAGGGAGTATTTCAACACCAGAGTGGTTCGATTCCATTGATGCTGTGTTGGGGACACGGCCAGCCACCAAACCATCTCTGGTTTTTTTTTTAGGTGAATTGTCTCATTGATGTGTGGGGGAGCGATAGGATACAAAATTTTTTCACTGGGACCCACCGTAACCGTGACGTCTACCAGAGAGTGAGCACTTTCCTCGTCGAACTGGGTTTGCAGCAAGGACTCGGGAGAAGGTGCGAGACAAGGTAAATAGACTGCGAGTGGAGTACCGCAAAGTAAAAGACAAACTAAACAAGTTAAGGGAAGGGAGTATTTCAATACCAGAGTGGTACAATGCCATTGATGCTGTGTTGAGGACACAGCCAGTCATCCCGCATCTGATTGGTTAAAAGTTCAGGAGCCATCATATCAAAACTTCATAGCAACCAACTTTGCCTGTTTTGATAGCTTGGAGAGTTCATTTATTTATACTGGTAAGTTCAGTTTTCTTCCCAGCATAATTCCTTTGAATCATATGGTTCTAGCTATCTGGTTACTGAATAAACATATTGTATAGATGTTGTATTGTAAATTACAATTAACGTGTTTGTTTTAAAAGTTAGCTCAAAGTAGAAAGCTAGTCTGCGAAACTAGACCTAAAGACAAATTAAGTGACACTTTAAAAAGTTTTCTGAATCAAGCAAGTGCTCAACCAGTCAATAAACATTATGCAGTCACTTGATTTGAAAACGATAGTCTGTGTATTCGACCAAGCTCTGTTTGCCAAAGCTGCTGGAGTTGTTTGGAAGCACCCAGGAAAAGGACATCATTCTTAGTTTGGGAGTCTACCACACCATATGCACACTGTTGTGAACCATTGGGAAGAGATTCCAAGATACTGGACTGAGGAACCTATGTGTAGAGTCAGGTGTCATTGCTGATGGCTCAGTTGCTGGAGTTGATGGAAGGCAGCAAGGAAAATCGTGCTGTCAGGCTACACAAGTTGTTGTATATCTGATTCTTGTTATCCTGAATAAATATATTTTAATAAAGTATAAGGCATTTATTAGAGTGCCATGGAAAGGCTTCCTACCTTGGGATGAAACTAACCACACTGAGGACCAGGTTCACCTGGAAGAAAGCCTCTAGAGTTGTAAACAACCTATGTGAGGATGTTTATCAAGCTGCTATCTGTGAGAAGATTGAGAATCAGTCCTTTGAGCCCATCTTCAAGCCGTTTAAAGTCTACCTTGATTACCTGAGACAGGAGAATGGGACCCTCTCGCCCTTCTGTATGTCATATGTGGACATGGTCGAGGTTATGCTAGGTCTGCTTGGGGCATCTAGAGAGGGTTACTGGGTGCTGCATGTCGCTCCCATTCGTGCATTGATTCCCTGGTGCTTCACCGACGACAAACTGAACTATGCTCGCTATTTCCCCTACTATTATGCACAAATGTCCCGGCTGGCCATTGATCACCCAGATGTGCATGAACAGTGCATGCAGGGCCAGGGATATTCTTTGCAACTTGGTATTAGCAACCCCTTTGGCAGAATCCCAGTCGATCAGACAATTGAAGAAACCTTCAACAAGGACACACAGACCCCTGGGGGAACGAAAGGCTTCAGCCTAAAACCAGGAGCTGTCAGTAGGTATTACCTGGCATCCGAGTACAAAAGCACATATTTGAGGGAGTTGAGAGACATGGTCAGCAGAAACAGATTATATTTTGTATCTTATCATGTGCCCCACTGTCCAGTGAAATTAGTTGAAACAATGCGGTAAAAAGAGAGGAAAGTTCTCAATTTATCGCTTGTTGTTTTCCACCTTAGTTTATCACGTTTGAGTCGATCCCCGACATATGCGATACAGAAATAACGAGAAATTATCGTTTATTCCAAATATCGTTATATTGGGCGGTCCTAAAATATAAGCGGCGATGAAAGCGATTGGGGCGATGAGCGTAATACTGAGACCGAGTCCTGTAATTGATGAAGTGGAGGTGGAGGAGGTGGCAGCGGCTACAAATCTGGCCCAACAAATAGATAATTGATCTTGAACCGCTGAGGGACTGTGTGAACAAATGCAACTGCCGTATCTTCAATGGAAGACGCTGTATTGAACAATTCTCTGGTAAGTTCTCATTTAATGGCTATGAATATCATACAATAATAATTTTGTTCTTATCTGTCTGTAAATAATACAATTTTAACCTCTTTATTTTGTACATGTGTGTCAGGGATCCCACTGGATATATTAAGCTCTTGCGCTTTTGTGGGTTATCCTGTCCAAGCTGTCTTAGTTTTGATATGTTATTCTTTTATATCGTATGTTGGAGGCTTGGCAAATCAATCACACGCATTTACTCTTACGTACTACTCCCACATCACATACCGCTATCAGATGAAGAGGATATCAGAGAAAGCACCACTTATGTTGCATCATCCGACACCAAGCCTGGGGGGCGAAGGAGATATGATGCGTACAACTATTGTTTATATTGTGAGACAAAACAGTGTAAAATATTACGTCATCTCAGGAGAAAGCACTCTAATGAACTTGACGTGGCAGAAGCTGGAAAGGACAAACCTGGCCAACAAAGGCATCGGATAGTTTTGGAAGTATCAAAAAACGTGGAAATTTTGCACATAACCAGATGGTTCATAAAGGTTCTACTGATGAGGCACAGAAAAAAGAAGAAAAAAAAGATTTCCAATACTGAGGCCTTTTTGCTTTAAATTTTTTTTTTTAAATGCTGGCCTTCTAGAACTTTGCCCGTCATTACCGAACTGTGTTTTTTTAAATCTAACTGATGAATTTCTTGATAGTGGTTTGTTCCGTGCAGATGGCATTCATTTGAACGGAGCTGGAAAATCTGCATTGGCCTCCATTCTTCATAATTTTTTGTTGAATCCTTTTAATTGTCTTCAATCATCCCCACTTTCCCCCATTGTTTAATTTGAATAAAACCATCCACTCTTACCCCACAAGACAAACTGAAAAATTCCATTTAAGAAATCCAAAAATCGCATTGGCTCTCAAATCCATTAGACACGCCGGCCCAGACATCTGAACTCTCTGCCCATTGAAATAAGAAACCTTAGGACATTGTATTCTTTTAAGAAGGCAATTAAAACTATGTTATTGTCTAAGTATTAATCATGTCGTGAGTAATTCTACTGTATTCATGTTCGTGTGTACATTGACTGTATATTCAACAATGATGTGTAATCGTCCATGACCTAGCATCGTTTTTCATTCATGAATGAACCTGCATTCAACAGCAGATGTATGAGATTTATTGTATTATTATCAACGCTTCCCCTCCTCCTCCTTCTCTCCCCTTTCCTTTTCTTTTCTGCAAGTCACTCTTTTTTATTTTTATTTTGTATTGTTGTATCTAAGTTGAGGGCTGCCGGCACGTCAAGCTACTTTGCTTATTTCTGTAGCCCTCCTGCATCTAATGTATGTTAATTATGCATTCAATGTATATGTTTAAATTCAATATATTTGTTTAATATCGTTTATTATCTGTATAAAATTATATACACTTGAAATATTGTATCAAGCCATATTATGTTCATGAAAATGTATGATGAAAAAAAGAAAAAAGATGCAGCAGAAACCAATAAATAAAATAAAATCAAATAAAAAATATAGAGCCCTTACTTGTAATAATGCATTTCAACAACACTGAATTTTCATCATCATGTCATCTACCATCACCTGTAAACCATATATTAGGTGGAAACGGAGAATGGAGCATGCTAGGAGTAGGAGGAAAGCCCAATTAAAAAAACGTAGGAGAAAAGTATGTTTACATACGATCAACAATACAAGAGTTTTTTGGACACCTCTAGAACTGAAGAGGTTGTATACCCCACCAAAGAAAAAAAAGAAAATTTTTTAATCTTGTATTGTATTTGCGTAGAGAAAAGCGGTCAACATATTATAACTTCGATAGACCCAGGAGGAAAAAGAAATGTAAGAGACCAGAAGAAGACGAGGCAGCTCCATGGTGCATCTGCACCAAATCTCGACTGATGCCGACAGAAGTGGAAAATGTTTGTTGCAGGTTACGTCCTTGTGTAACGTCTACTCAAAACTTCTCAGACGGAGTTACCAATGGGACAGTGCTTGTCGCTGCCATGCAGGCAAGCAGGGACAACTTCCCCTGCAATATTCCGAAGAACAATGACTCATATCGCCACTACGCTTACAAACCATTCATTTCTATTTCTTTTACACAAAAATATATTTCCCAAAATAAAAAGTATCAGGTATCATATCATTGAGGTTGTAATTTTGAGAGCATGTGGCAAATATTTTGTTCTTTTAATGTGTTTTATGTGCAATTTGTGCACAATATGTAAAGTTGACTTTATGTTTACAATTGTTTATAAAAAATTGTTGAGATATATATGTAAGAAGAGTGACAACAAAATAATTAGACATTGTGCTAAATGAATGTTCAGAAATTCATAATCATCTTGATTGTTTATAATTAAGATTTGTAACGTAGGAAACTTTGAATGAACCTTACTGCATGACAGTCTAAGCCCCAAGGATAGCCAGAAATAAAAAGAATTATATATTTGTTTAAAGAGTTCTTCTTTTTACCAAGTCTTTCCAAAAGATACATGGTGATGAGGCACAGCTTTCACAGTTTTCTGTATGCAGAGTCGTCAAAGATGTGTCAGAAGCTTTTGCAAGAAGAAGGGAAGAATTACCCCATAATTCATGGGGTTCCCAACATCAAGAGAAGAAGTAGAAGAAACACAGCAGCAGTTCTACCAGTACAGCAGGTTGCCAGGTGTTCTAGGTGCAATTGATGGGACTCATATCTACATTTAAAACAAATGATTTTCTAATAATAGCTGATGTAATGCCAACTGTTTTTAATGATATTTACTGTCGGGCTGAGTTGAGTGTGTACTGTGTAGTGACCAAATGTTACGATTTTTAACTGTCGCTGAAAGTGTACCTTACTTTAGCATGTGTAATAATGTTTTATAACTGTTATGCATTGATTTGTACATGTTTGATATGTATTGCTTTCCAATTTTCAAAATGGTGACTAGGGAGACCGAAATGGTGTCGAATTCACAAGATCTTTAAATAGATCTTTAATCTGATCCCCACTCAATTAATGTTACTTGTGCTGTCAACTACAGATATTACTTAGTCCATCTTTTTATATTTGTCATATGCATTCATACCCAATTTAATGTATGTATTTTTATATATTGATGAATAAATGAATTGAATTGAATTGAAGAAGACAAAGAGGTGCCATCTACATTTACCCGTGGAGGGAAGACCGCTTCTGTTATGGCAAAAAACTGTGTTGGGAAGCTTCATTTTCACATAAATTCATTTATGGTTCTGATATCTGACATTAGAAATTGACAAATGTGCTTATTGTGACATTTACCCAATAAAACAACAATTGAATTGTGATATTTTGTGATTGAAAAGTGGCTTCAAGAATCTCTGTTTCAACATACAACGAAGTGCTTAGTCCCATATGTGAGTGTTATTAACTACATTTAGTCTACTTCATTACGACAACGCTTTCTCTGGAGGAACTCAGCCAGGTGCGATATTCTTATTACAACTTTTTGAATCTGCTATAAGTAGATTGTTGTACATATAATGTAACACATATCAGGGGATTCCAGGGGGGAGCAACCAACGACTTCTCATTGTCCAAGCACTAAAGAACAACTGAAGGATTACATGGATAAACATCAAGCAAACCAGGCATCGTTAACTTCTGCACCCAGGTCTCCCACCCAGGGGGAGAGACCAGATCCTAGGGGACCTACAGCCCAAAACCACGCGAGAGGTACCTTGACATGGTCAGACGACAGTGACGACTTCCAATGACATTTACAAGTTGTTCGTTGAGAATTTACATCTCACTTATAATCCAATGGCTCTTTTTAGAGCCCCAAATTTTAAAGAAAGAACTGAAATATTTAACTCTCTTATGAAAAAATATATAAGACCCTCTCTTCTGCAATCTTGTTATAATGACACTCTCTTCATTGAACTGATGAATTTTTTTCTTTTCCCCCTCTATGTTTAACTTTTATCAATTCCAAAATAAAATGTCTAACTCTTCTGTGATCTTCATCCTTATATTCTTGTACACTTACAATTTTATCAACTTTCACCCATCACAAGTTCCAAACAAACTGTTAGGTGTTCAAGTCAATATACATTTTTAGCAGTAAGAAAAAAAAAAGAAAAAAAAAAAAAATTCTCAATGCTTTGGAGAGCCTAAATGTTTTTTAAATTAGGGTCCAAGATCTAAATCTAATTTAGATCTAGACTTACTGTACTACTAGCTCAGAGCAAGTTTACTGAAACTAGTTCTAGGTCTAATGTTAGACCAAAATACTATAACTGTTGCTGTGCTGGTCTTGTAGTGGTAGTAGTATTATTTCTTTCCGTACAAAAAATGAGATACGGTGGATTGCCCACATTCAGCTTACCCCAAATGGGGAGCTAGTCTTCCGTGGGGTCCGGATCCAGTACATGAACAAAATATACGCTGTATGCAGCACATTCTACAATGCCAAAGTTTGTAGGAGGCCGAAAGACAACAGATTTCATTTGCATAAGACATTTATAGTTATTTGACAACATGAACCTTTGACGTAGTTGGCAACGTAATGGACAAAATAGCCATGACTTGTCCAGAAAAGAAATAAACCTGAGAGATCAGACTTGACTTGACAGCACAAGGTTGGATGTGACTGATAGGGTCTCCTTTGTTGTGTGCATCTCAGTCTGTGCCTAGCTTCTCCTTCACTTTATCATCGATGTTGGCATAGTACTTCAACCTCATCAACGTCTCTCGGGCTCCAGAATAGTCGGCTACAAAACAAGAGAGAAAAATAGAAAAGGATTGATTAAATAATAATAATAATATGCAGGGTTTATATAGCGCTCAATACATCTGGGACGTCTCTAAGCGCTTTCCAGATATACTATTACTCCGGTCAAAATCTCCACTCCCTGGGATGCATTCCAGGATAAAAATGGACTAGTAGTACTTCTGGGCCCCGTCTTATACAGAGTTGATGTTAATCGCAACATACTTGCAATTGATATCGGTTGCAACTATGTATATGAGGAGATAGTGAACTGCAAACTTGCGATTGATTTGGATCACTCGCAACTGAAGTGCAAAATATTGCACATTAGGTCAGCTCCAGAATGTTACGTTAGATCACAATGGGGTGTACAGGGACATTGAATAACAGAAGCCCCAAGTGTCTCATTCATGTAGAAATACTGTAAGCAGGTGTGACCGCAGGTTTTCCAGACACCCCCTAAAAGAGGATTTCTTCTGAAGCCAAAATACACCCTAAACAACGAAAAAAATACACGGTGGCGACGGGCGATTCGCCCCCTAAACCTTTGAAATCGCCGCGGTAAAAATCAAGGCGAGGGCGAAAAAAAATCAATATATCTTGAAAAATCGCCCCCGCCATAAATTGATATTCCCTATGAATTAATAAACCAATTTATTGATGTGTCCAACACCCCATTCACAGTGGCCTCAAACACCGCGACAGCAGCGGGACTGTCCCGCTGCTGTCGCGGTGTTGTCTTCAGTGTGAAGGCTCGGACCCGTTATAAACTATCGCGGGATAACACCGCCTCGCGATAACGCCGCGACAAACTATCGCTAGGCTCGCCTAGCTACAGCAGCGGGACAGTCCCGCTGCTGTCGCGGTGTTTACTCAGTGTGAAGGCTCTCCGCTATAACACCGCGACAAACACGTGTGATTTGTTTACTTACCTATCACTGACCTCTTTTCTCCAGCAATGGGGAACATAAAGTGAAATAGAAATAAAGTAACCAGTGGATTCAAATTTATTTTATTATTATGTAGATTTATAATTATCCAAATAAAAATATTTCACACTTCAAAAAATTAAAATATTCTGACTGGAAGCAATAAAAATGCTAGTTTTTTAAAAAGTAATATGATCGAGGATACAAAAAGCAACTTGACATGTTTACCCTAAAACCCCGCGCTGAAGTATTTCCGGTCATATCGGGGTCACTCGCGGGTCATGAGCCATGCATACACGTGTTTGTTACGGAGGTAATAAAAATCACCCGCTGCAGCGTGAATGGGTACATGATATTTATCCCGCTGCTGCAGCGGGATAATTTTTCTACTGTGAATGCATTTGTAGCGGTGTTATGGCGGTGTCGCCGCTCCGCTACAACGCCGCTACAAATTTCAAAACCACTGTGAATGGGGTATGAGTGAAATCTCTGTTCAAACTACCAACTCCAAAACTAGAAACTTCCATCAACATTTTAAAAGTTTTGTGAGTTGCAGCGGATCGGCGGTCGTACCTACTGTAGCTAGATCTACAGCGGTATCCGCCTGCCTGCGCCTAAGCTCCCGGCGGCCGGACAGGCCACCGGCCCCGATGTAGTTTCGTGCACAGCATGAATGCATACGCAGTTCGCAAACGTTCACAATACACAGAAACGTACTAGCTCAGCTCCAGCGCGCGCCCACCCGCACGCTCCTTGTATGAAGCAAATAAGTATTTGCGAGTGACGAGAGCTCAACTGCTAGCGACTAAATTGGTACGTAATATGTTTATTTAGTCTTTTTTCTGGCCCTAATTTTTATCATGGACAATGCAATCCCATTAAAAAAAATGTTATTCCGTCTAAAATTGTGTTATTTATAAGTTAAAACCATTAAATGCGAGTATATTTTTACTGTTGTCCCACATACTGATATATTTGTAATAACGAAACGTGCAAAATCAATGCCGGATTTCTTCCTGTAAAATTGGTATAAAGCAAGTTTCGTACACAGAAATTGAATTTTGTTATAAAAAATACGTAAATAAATATATAAAGGATGTTCCTACTCCTCAGAATCTTTCTTACAACTGTTTAATTAAATTAAATTATTTATATACGATCGATGCCAGGCCAATTGTCTGAGTGATGATGACATCAATTTCTGTCTACGAAATGAAACTAGCTTTGGCTTGGCCTTTAGAATTAGAGTCTATAAAAAAAAAAATAAGGCCATGATTTTGCATGTTTCGGCATAACAAATAGACCCTACATCGGTATGTGGGACAACAGTAAAATATTTACTCACATTTAATGGTTATAAATGGTCTAAATAACACAATTTTAAAGGGAGTTGGTCTACATTTTTTTTTAATGGGATTGCATTGTCCATGATAACAATTAAATTTGGGACAGAAAAAAAGACTAAATAACATATTACCTACCAATTTGGTTGCTAGTAGTATGATGGCTAAGGAAAAACACAACTTGTTGTTACAGCTTACAATATGGCTTTAAGGAAGTAGCCCCTTGGTTTTTTTTTAGGCAATCAGGCGCGTAGCCAGGGGGGGGCGGTGGGGGCGGTCGCCCCCCCCCAAAACGCCGGCCAAAAAAAAAAAAAAAGAGAGAAAGAGAAGAAAAAAAAGAAAGAGGACGTAGGAAGAAAAATGGAAAAGGAGTCGAGAACGGTACAATGAATCGTCAAAGCTTCCGCGCTTCGCGCGGGAAGGGGGAAACTGAGTTCAAATTAAGAAATATGAGTCGGGAAAGGTACAACGAATCGTCTTCTTTCTCTAATAATTTAATGAAACGTCAAAGCTTCGCGCGAGAGGGGGGGGGGGGAACAGAATTCAGACAAGGATTAAGAGTCGAGAAAGGTACAACGAATCGTCTTCTTTCTCTAATAATTTAATGAAACGTCAAAGCTTCGCGTGAGATAGGGGAGGGACTGAATACAGATAAGGATTAAGAGTCGAGAGAGGTACAACGAATCGTCTTCTTTCTCTAATAATTTAATGAAACGTCAAAGCTTCGCGCGAGAGAGGGGAGGGACTGAATTCAGACAAGGATTATGAGTCGAGAAAGGTACAACGAATCGTCTTCTTTCTCTAATAATTTAATGAAACGTCAAAGCTTCGCGTGAGATAGGGGAGGGACTGAATACAGATAAGGATTAAGAGTCGAGAGAGGTACAACGAATCGTCTTCTTTCTCTAATAATTTAATGAAACGTCAAAGCTTCGCGCAAGAGAGGGGAGGGACTGAATTCAGACAAGGATTATGAGTCGAGAAAGGTACAACGAATCGTCTTCTTTCAAAGCTTTCGCGCTTCGCGCGGGAGGGGGGAAACTCCCCCCTCCCTGCACCCACCCCCCTAGGGAGCGCGCTTCGCGCGCTCTTTAAGTGATTCGCACTACCGCCCCCCCTAAAATGAAATCCTGGCTACGCGCTTGTAGGCAATGGGGAAAAGTAGCCCCCATAAAAAAATTAATTCCTAGCCCGCGTGTCAGTGATAATATTTTCTTAGGATATGAAAAACGAACAGTTAAACAAAACACTCCTTTTGACAAGTTTTAGTTACATGTATATGTAAATCATAAAGCCACACGTTTAACACAAAGTGAATAAATCATGGGTATCTGAATGTCTGCAATACTGTACATGACATATGTACGCTACAATTGTATCTACATTTGCCTTTGCTTGGAATTTAATTAGGTAAAACTGCGTTTTAAAAAAATACAACCTTTAAAAAAAAAAAAAGCCCCCCTGAGCTCCAAAATAGCCACCGCAAAATAATTAAGGGGGGCTATTTTTTTAAGGGAAAATCTGAAAAGAGCCCTCGTAAAAAAAAGAGTAATTTTTTGGTTGACCCTAAATGAGGATTTTGCGTGGTTTTTCCCAAATTAACACCCTAAATGGTTATTTCACAAAAGTGTACTCTTCAACAAGTATTGAAAAATTGTAACCCCTTGAGCATTTTGAAGTGCTATAGGGATTACCATTTAAGTTGTTGACAATGTAAAATAAATCAAATTGCGCTTCTGATGTAAAATTCACAATGTTAAAATTATTTCAATAGAGAAGCAATAACATCAACTTGTATAGGGGCTTCTTCATGTCTGTGCTGTTCTAGGAGAAAATTCATTATTTCATTTCAAAAGCATTCTTCCAAATTACATTCCTCTTCACCACCATTCTTCATGATAGTATGACTTCAACTTTATCAGCGTCTCTTGTGCCATGGGATTCCAAATCTCACCTTTATTGAAAGCAGCTTGCAGTTCATCAAGATGGGCATTCAAAATCACTGCAACAACAAAAAAGGAAGAAAATAAATCAACTCTAATATTAGAAGTCATAACATTTCTGTAAAAACTTCTTTTCCTTTTTCATTTAAGGGGGGGGGGGGGGGGGGAGGTGGGGCTGGGGTGGGGGAGAGAAATACAGGGTAAGTCTAGGTATTAATTCCTGTGATGAGATATTTGTTCTGTTTAGAAACATAAAAGAATTAAAATACATTCATTTAAGATGGCTTTAAGATTGTTTTAACAAACACAAGAAAAAATAAAGCATGCATAGCTTGCTCAAATACACACATAGATATTGAATACGATGTTTATACTGCTATATGCCTGCAACAGAAGTACTTACAACAAATACAAGATTTTCAACACAAAAACATGAAAGCATGCAGTGGAAAAGGGAAAGAAACTTGTTTGATTATTCCACAACACATGCAACAAGATATTACAACATTCATGAATGCAATGGAGAAAAGGGGCAACTGACACATCAAATGAAAAAGTATTTAGAGTTTCTTTCATTCTAGGGATTAAACGAGCAAATTCAATGTGAATACTTTTGAAAATCGTATTACTGGGAGGACCCGGGTGTGAAATCCATTGGATTTGCTAGTGCCCTGTGGTAAGGCATTAATCATCATTACCAAGTCCTTAAAGCCCGTCTGCACTAGCTTGGCCAGGAGGGATTAGACCACCCTGCAAGGTAACTGACAGGTGCAAGTCAGCTCTCAATTAACATAAGAAAAAGAGGATCATGGGGACCAACGGGCACCGCTTAGGCACTGTTTGCTATATAGAGGGCGCAATTAGCTACAGTGGGGCTTTAAAGCCGTTGGTCCTCTGCTTGCATACGTACAAGCATACACACGCTTTATTCACAGTCAGGTGAAATAACAATCAAACATTTATGAACCGGTTAGTTTCCAGGAAGTACTTCTCTCTTTATCATCAAAACAATACCTGAATTGTCTTTTCCCATTCGCCTGATGGTGTCTAGATCATCAGTATCGGCTATCTGTTCATTGATTTCCATCACCTCCATGAGGAATACTGGGTCTATGTTGCTTTCCCCTTCCTCTATCGAGAACCCTCTGAGCTCAAGCTGTGAATGAAAAAACAAGGAAAAGTACAACGCTGAACTTAAAGAGAAGGTTGAGTTCTGGGAAGAGGTGAAAAATAATTTGTGAGCATTATCATTCTTATTATGCAAGTGTGGAAGAACATCAGATAAGACATGTTCCCTGAAAAGCATGGCTCTTCAAATGCCTTCATATTCTAAATATGTCATGTACATCGTAAAACTCGGGGGGTAGGTTTTTTACGCCACGTTTTCGTGTAGTCCCATATACATCTTACTGTGTACAGTGTTTGTAACTTTACCAAGACTTGGCTAATTTCTTATCATTTTGATGATTCCAGAACCTTGCAATACACACAAATTCTTATATGCTAGATGATCAACCTTTTCTGGTCGATTCCACACCGTTTCTTTCATAATGCAATTGCATGACCAGAACTCAACTTCATCTTCAAACACAAATCATGTACTGTAATTTAACTAGCGTCAGGAAATGGACTGAAGACGCCCTCAGAATTCAAAAGGCATAATTGTTGATGATGTCAATGCATATTAATCCTAACCAAGCGCTATTTGAAATTATCAGGAGCACCGATAAATTTGATATTCTAATTTCTCAAAATCCTTAGCATTTTAGAGCCCAATTTTTCAAAGTTGCTTACTCTAACACCAGGTTTCATAACGGTAATGCAAATTTTAAATTTCATAATCCAATCATGTTGAAATATTACCAAAACTTTGTATTACCTTTAAAACCCCACTGTACTACTTGTAGCTACTTGCTCCCCCGGTGGGGTCACTCCCCTGCAAAGAGTGACACGTATGACCGTTACCACCAATGCATATAACCCCCTTTTGCGGTCAATTTCAAGGACATTTTGTGAAATTTGACCCCCTTTTTTACATCAAAACAAGGACAAAATCGTACTTTGGAATACCCCTATTTATAAGATTGTAAGGACACTTTCGCAAATTTACCCCTATTTTACCATATTTCAAGGACAAGACTCGGCTGCGAGAATTTTTCTTCCCGGTTTTCTCTTTTCCCTTCCCGGTTTTCTCTTTTCCCTTTTCCTGACCCCTATTTATCAATTTCGGGGACACCTGTGCCCCCCTATTTTCTTTATTTCGAGAAATATTTTATCCCCGGACATTGCTTGAAATTGACCCCTTTTTCCGCGGTCATGCGGTCCGGAAGTCACATTGAGTGACCCCACCGGGCTTGCTCCCTCTATATAGAAAACAATGCCTAATCGGTGCCTGTTGGTCCTCCATGATCCTCTTTTTTAATGTTAATGGAGAGCTGAGTTGATGAGATAGCCACCTGTCAGTGACCTCGCTGGGTGGTCTAATCCCTCCTGATTACACTAGTACAGGCGGCCTTCAATACACAAAAATTAAACACATAATTACCAAATAGAGTCCTCTTGACAGTGGTTTGAGAAGCACCTTGTATGCTCGATTCACAGCCGATGACTGTGCAGCAGAGTAGCTCTGTTCTATCTGGATGGATGGAAAGACAATAAATTAAAAATAATAATAGCTCACATTTATAATGCACCTAATACTTTGTTTCTAGGCGCAGCACATATTATTACCCCGGTCATCGGATTCAGGCTTACCCGCAACACAATGTATGCACATTCCACTCCCTGGGGAGCATTCCAGCCAGTCGCCATTTAACAAGCGCCACTTGCTAATCCAACCACATTAACTTTCGCATCCTACCGGGTACTAGTGTTGTAGCCGAACATGGCACTTCTGAACCGAACCGAACCGAACGCAAAGGCCTAGATCGGATGTTCGGCAGAAAAATATAAACGCTAATAAACTTGTCATTTTGTACCTAATTTTCATGTCATGATTGCTCATTTTATATTTACCTTTTTTCCATTTTCCACCTTTGTGATTTATGCCTATCCAGTGGTGGGCGCGACTTCACTGGCTCCATTTAAATCCCAAATCCTGACCTCTGATACGTCGCGATTGCAAGCCATAAACAAGATTACATGTGCGTGATAGGCGCTGATCAAAACAAGTTCAGGTAAAACCCCTTTAACAAAACAAAAAAATATTTAAATTATAACAATATTGGACAAATTTTACAATACAAATAATGAAATAAATATATATTATAGTATGCTATTTATTTATTCAAGAAAATAGGGATTTTATATTTTTCCTATTGAAAATAAACACTTATAAAAAACAGTAATCGACGAGCCTGAGACGCTATTCAAGATGGCCGCTTTCATGACGTTAACAATAGAAAACAACAGTCTCGGAAAACCTATCAAAAATATCATTTTTTGACAAATTAAAAACATGATCCTTTTAAAATTGAAAATAAAACACAAATAATTACGTTTAGAGCAGTTTTTTAATGTGAAATTCGTGCTGGTCGGAAGCAGAAGTCCTCCGTGCTGGTCGGGCCCGGCCGGCCCGTCCAGTGCCGACCGCCGTGGCTATAACGCTGCTTGGTATTATATTACCAAACCAAATTCGGGTGAAAAATTGCCAAACTCTGCCGAACCGAACCGAACACGAACATAGCGTCCGACTTAGAGCACTACCGGGTACCCATTTACCACATGGGTAGAGAGTGGCAAATGTAGATCAATGTCTCGCCAAAGGATATTAGTGCCGCGGCGGGACTTGAACCGCAGACCTTGTGATCCACAGTCCGGTAACATATCCACTCGACCAATGACTTATGGCTGACGCATCATGTACATAATCGGTATTGGTGGTTGACCAATACGAGATTCTGATCCACTAATAAACATGAATAAATGTTAAGTATTTACTTATTGCTGTTGCTTAATAATGTAAAACACAACTGGAGTCTTGCCCAAGATTATTATCTAGTAGCCGGCGAAAAATACAGTCACTTGGTGCCAAGTTTCTGCATGCTGCTACCAAAAGATAGTTGCTCTTTAGTCATTGATAACTTCATACTCATGTTGATCAGATTTAGACCATAGGTTGAATATAAATATCAGTTATTGATGTGGGCCATTCCATGGTAACTCGCGTTACACCTAATGGGTACATTGACACGATAATGTGCCTATATCTTTAGAACTGCTAGGATCTACAAGATACTTTTTTCAAGCATGGACAGGGTAGATATAGAACAACTGAATGAAACAAAAAAGAAACTTGAAAAACAAACATTTTTAGATTCTTGGATTATTGAATTTCGGTAACTCGCGTTACAAAAAAAGGACATGGTCAATTCTATGAGACCCTCTTTTCTCCTCATAGACAATCTTGACAAAATCTTTCCTACTTTAATTTGATAGTAGGTTGTGACTTACTAGTATAAGATCACAATATTAAAGATAAGAAACAATGGACTAGTAAAATGCAGGAAGCAAATATGTCGGTAACTCGCGTTACATTTTGTCCGGAGGCCATTTTCACCCCTATGTAATAGATTAAATATCACAGGACCCCTTAGAATATGGAAATATATTCATCTTTTTCCATTTAGCGAAATTTTCAGGAAAAAATATTACAAGAATCCTGTGTAATCTGCAATAAATTGTTTTTTTTCCATCTACAGTCCCACATGTACATTTTTGATGATGGTTTGAGATCTTAGGAAATCAACAAAAATGAAAAATAAATTGTATTGAATTTGAAAGGCCCTAATGTTTTATGAACATCCATGGCATAAGGTTAGTGATAAATCAAAGAATTAACATAAGAGGTACATTTCTTTTTTTGATGTCATGTCCTTCTTCTCATGGAATGGCCCATGTGAGCATAAGTAGTTCCTGCAGGATTTGATGAATAATAATAATAATAATAATAATAATAATAGCCTAATAGTCCACTCCAAATTTTATTAAACCGAAACGGAAATTCTTTTTGCCCAATTGATCGTGAGCCCGGCAGCCACTGAGCAGCGCCAGATCGACGTTGCTCTATCCCTTATTGTTGAATGCCAAACAAGGTAGCAACAACTCCCATCTTTTAACGTCTTTTGGTATGACGCGGCCGGGGTTCGAACCCACGACCTCCCGGTTGTGAGGCGGACGCTCTACTGACTGAGCCAACACTCCGTCATACATGAAGATCATGTATCTACTTATTCCCCAATTTTACCTCTGATTTATTGCTGAATTTGTCTGGATGCAGAAGCCTCTGAAGGTCCCTGAAGCTATTAGTCAGATCTTGCACATCCATATCAAACTTCTCCTCTCTAAATATAAATAACAAAAAGAGACTTCGGTGCAATGATCAGCATTTTATTGTAGTATGATGAAATTATTATGTTGCTGGACTGTACATAATTGCATGAACATTGATCTCATCTTGGACTTTGTATTAAAAAGAAGAGAAGGGTGTACTCTTCTCACTATTGCACTGAAATCAAAATCCTTTCAGCATTACGATTAACATCTATTCAATAAAACTCAATAATTGATCGGTGCAAGGGCCATCACACTATGAACATGACAGGCAAAGAAAGCGGACAAAATATACAGTTCCTCAGGTAGACAAAGGTACATCCCTTCACTGATATTATGTAAAAAGGGGAATATGCATGTGACACCCGTTCTACACACTTTTACATAATAGCAGTAAAGGGACGTTTCTTTGTCTACCTGAGGAACTGTATATTTTGTCCGCTCTCTTTGTCAGTGATGTTCATAGTGTCCGACCCCCGCCCTTAATGAATATTTGGTGAATATTAAGATTTCTACTTCGTCTTTAAAAAAATCCGTGCGAGACAGACAGCTTACAACAATTTGACATGTCATATCTTTTTAGAACGCCATCTCATGTCAACTTGAGGTTTGGACATGTGTAATTATGTACTACCACTCTCTTACTTCTTAGATTTTTAATTTTTCAAACAGTTTGAGTGAAATTGTTGAATCAACAATACAACATGGATGAATCGTCGGGACGAAGAATTACCATTTTTTCCATCGAAGACTTCTTCAAATTATAATTTCAAGTCAAGTGGTTGGAAAGATGCCCAAGGAGTCAGAAAAACAGTCAAAAAGTCAAAATTGTAATTACTACCTCTTTAGTCTTTACATCGCGAAAAAATGTGACCCAACCCGGCCCGCTGTTTGAATCATTTTCAGAAGCGGGCTCTGGACTGGCGCTCAGACGCCTTCGACTTCGCCAGACCTCCCTAATATTAATGGCAGACTTTGAGATTTAATTTAACCATTTCATAGAATAAATATAACGTACTTTCCCATAATCTGAAAACTGTTCAATCCATCCTCCAGCGGCTGGATCATATTGCACGATGCACAAAATAAAGCACCGACGCGGGGGCCTCCACTGGAGGTCGCAGACCGCGAGAGTTCAGCGCTACAGTTCCAACAGACTCCCGATGACGAGCAATACAAACGCCCCATGATCCTGCTGGACATCATGCCTCGTTGTAGTTTTTTAGTCTTTTGATGAATGCAGGCAGAATTTGACAAAACTGCTTTTATAGCCTGTCTTCTGGAAAATGAGCATACTGTGCTGGATATAATGCTACTTGAAGATAATCCTCTTTCATGACACAGAAAACCCTGTGCCCGAGGAAGAGCCAGACGACACGATTTTAACAAACACGCTGCCATGTTCTTATTCAGATAAGCATGGTGTGTAAGGTACGTAAATGGTCAGACCTAATGAATATTCATTACCAAACAGCTCGGGCGGGAAGCAGGAATTGCTGACCTAGCTAGCGGAATAAAATCCAATCATACATACACACAGATGCAGATATATTGTATTCAAATGATTCAGTTTGTAATATTGCGCAATCCTGAAGTTGGAGTTCGAAAAATCACCACATATAATTATCACAAAACTCAGGGAGGTGTTTTGCAAAACTATACCTGGTTAGTGGTTATTATAGCACAAGCGACGATGTTTTGGGAATGTTCTCTCGGAATGAATTGCAGAGAAAGTAGATGTTCCAAGTGGGATGCAGGAGGTTAAGGTTGGAACGAAGATAGACGAAATTTGCTCCCATGTAGTGAAAGTTCAGAACTGTAAAGAAAACGTTCTAAAATAGACCTACGTGTTGACTCGATGAGAAAACTTTGAGAAGTGTACTTTTGAAAAGAGACGTGAGTTGTTTTGTTCCTCCCCGGTTCCTCCTTGAGTCTGATTATTGCTTGCGAAGCATGCAGGATGAAGACAAAGAGAGTAGCCTATAATGAGGCCATTTTCGTAAAGTAACAAAATTTAATGCATAAGTCTTTGTGAAGTGCCTCAATTGATACAAATTATTTCATTCACCTGGTAAGAATAAAAGTATTTCAATAGACATAATCCAAACTCCATAGTTGTTGCCAGGTTGGACAAACATTATGACTTGACCTACAAAGCAACACTTGATTATGCAGTTTGCATTCTGACTATTGAATTACTCTTAAGGACTTACTCTAGGCAGGCGCGTACGCAGAATTTTTTCAAGGGGGGGGGGGGGGGGGGTTAACATTTTTAAATCAGCCATATGGGAATAATTTTTTTTTTATTTTTATTTTTTTATTTGTAGGGGGGTTTATACACATAAAAATACCAAAGGGGGGTGTTTTAACCCCCCAAACACCCCCCCTGCGTACGTGCCTGACTCTAGGACTTACTATTATTATCAGGTGAATGAAATAATTTGTATTGAGGCACTTCACAAAGACTCGTGCATTAAATTTGGTTACATTACGAAAATGGTCTATTCCGGGAGGTACAAGAGGGAGTCAGCGGGGATTAAGTGTACGTATACAGGGCCAATGTCGCCAGTATAGTTGACATTTAGTTGATAAATGGGATATGAGTGACAGTAACTGGTATATTAGAGGGCAATCATGCAGGCAATGTCTTCCCAAATCAGTTTTGCAAAATAACAAATGAAATGGAAAAAGAAGGATGAAATGAGGAAAATACTTCAATATTATCGGGGCTCCAGGCTCACTATATATACACCTGGATCCATTTTGCCACAACGTAACTACCATAATAATGCTAACAGGTTAAAACAATGGGGGGGGGGGGGGGGATGTGTCCGATTTTGGGAGATACGGAGTGCGTTCACGGTACGTTTCTGCAGGGGTCCTCTACGTTTGTCTTTCTCTTGGGGTCTGCCTAGCTTCTTACTAATTTTTTTTTGTAAAGAGTGTAGAAAGTCATTAAGGCACCCTAAACAAAAACAGCATTTTCATGTCATAATTACAGCAGGCCATTTATTAAAACATCTATATGGTTAAATTTCTTATTTAAACTCCTAGATCTAGATACATTTAATAATGATAATTATAAGCCTATATCTATAGGGACTCTTCTCATACCCATGTCAGCCCGCATAACCTTAATATTATTGTACACAAAAATCTTTCAAAACTGAGTAAAGAATTTCTTTAAGAAATGGAAACTGGAAGCAGAAGCAGGCGCGGATCCACGGGGGGGGGGGGGGGGGGGGGGGGGGGGGTCACGGGCCCGCCCCTGGCAAAAAAAAAAGAAGTAAAACAAAGATGGTAACCACTTATTTACCTTTGTCTTTTTTTTTGTGCTCAAGGGGGGGGGGGGTTTGAGTAACAAATTAAATAAAACGATGTGATTTGTAGTGCTCACTACCCCCCCCCCCCCCCGGCCCCCGATTGGTAATCCAGGGGTATCAGTTTCGGGGTAGGAGATGGAGGATGAAGAGGAGGAGAAGGAGAAGAAGAAGAATAACTAGAAGACGAAGAATAAATTAGAGACGGTTGAGATAATAGACCTGTCTACTAATAGGCCTATACATGTACGTATTTCATGGATGTTTCTCATCTCCTGAACCCCTGGGGGTGTTTCACAAAGATCCGAAGTTGAACTTATCTTTAAGTCGGACTTTAACATCATGGAAAGCCGTTAGCATCTTTGAAAATATTTTGTATTTAAAAGGCATAAAATGTTGATTCAATCAATCATATTTTCTCTTATCAAGGATATTTCATGTTCTTGATGTGGAGTTCATGAAAAGTCTAAAATACTTGGATTTTTTGCTTTTGAATATATATTTTTTTAAGGCTAAAATGAGTAACCATGATATTTAAGTTCAACTTAGATTTTAGTTTGACTGAGGATCTTTGTGAAACACCCCCTGGACCCATAGACCCGAATTCACAAAGGAGGTTTGTCGACAAACCTTTAATTTTTATTTGAGTCATCATTATGACGCACATAAACCTAGGTTTGTCGACAAACCTCCTTTGTAAATTCGGGCCATAATGTTCATAAAACCGTACAAAGTCAATTGTCACTAATTACGTAGGCCTATATTATTATATAGTTGACAACTAGCTAGGCTTATAGTGTTATTTTATTAATAAGTATGATGAGCCCGGTGACCGACCCAGGTGACCAACGATGTCATTCACCTGTTTTTGCACAATGGCAGACTAGCTGCTGCGATGTCTGGCAAGCTTTTTTAGTTGTCTTAAGATTTTTTTTGTTCGAAAGGTATGTATGCAATTTTATTCACTTATTCACTTTTAAAACTAACTGTATAAGTCATGTACATTGCTCCTAAATTCTTTCTAAATGTGTATATGCTAATTAAGTATTATTAGCTTATGTATATCTTTTGTCATAATTCATCTTAATTGTTTGCCTATTGAATGGTAATCATGGAAGGTATATGACATACAGTTCTTTGAGATGTATCTCCATATAGCTCCGCAGGTGACTGACTTGTATGTTCCGCTTGGAGGGGGAGGGGGGGGGGGGGTGCCCATATGTAGAGCGGTGTGGGCGGTGCCTGAAGATTTTATGCATTTTCTTGTCGTGATTTTTGCTCTTCACGTGCAACGTTAATGATTCGTGACGGATTGCCAGACAGGGGATCATACCCCTCGAGGCCCCGACCAAGTAATAGGAAACTCATTTCGTTCTCAATGCAACGATATTCATGATAATGTTGCCATCATTACATGAGATACAGGCGCGTGCGCAGGATTTGTTAAAGGAGGGGGGGGGGGGGGGGGGTTAAAATTGAAAATTACGCCGAAAATTTCGCAACGACTCAGCCGGCCGCTGAATAAGCGGGGGGGGGGGGGGGGTGTATAGTACATATATATTTTGTTGGTCGACCGCCCCCACCACCCCATGGCTACGCGCCTGTGTTGTGATCGGGGGAGGGGGGAGGGGGGGGGGGGGTACTTAGATCTTGTTTGGACGGGGGTGTGCCGCTCAAACCTCGAAACTTTAACCCATTTTTAAAGGGTCATTTTGGTTTTTTTTTTTTCTCGAAGTAAAGCCAATTAAAAAAAAAATTGTTTAGAGATATTTTGTAAAAAAAAGAGACCCATGTTTTAGGGATATTTTTGTGAAAAAGTGACCCATTAGAGCGGCACACCCCCGTATGTCTTAATATGTGAGTACCCCCCCCCCCCCGGGTGTGATGCCTTTTAGCATGACATGGGCGCAGCCATTTTTCTTGAAAATGTGACGTACTAGGAAGTAGGCCTAAGTTGTACATGCATGTATCATGCACCAAGCTTTAGTTGGAAAGACTTTTTAAATCAATAACAAAACCTGTACTTTTCAATAAGGAAAAACCATAGCTGAGAAGATAGAAATTATATTTGGTGAAAAATATATAAACAGGGGAAATTGTAACTAATTCATTTAAATATACTAAAATATGCAGTTTTTACCAATCTATTTCATTTATGACAAAACCTTCAACCTTGCGTTCTGTCATTATTGTACAGTACAAACAGGGGCGTACGCAGGGGGGGTGGGGGTTTGGGGGTTCAAACCCCCCCTTTCGTATTTTATGTATGTATGTAACCCCCCTAAAAAAAACCGAAAACCCCCCCCCCTTTGGCTTTTTTTTTTTTTTTTTTTTATTTTTTTTATTATAAAACCCCCCCCCCCCCTAACGAAAAAAAAAAGTCAAATTTTGAAATTTTGAGACCAAAAAAAAAAAAAAAAAAGTGTCCGCGTTACCCCCCCCCCCCCCCCCCCCCCCCCCCCCCCCCCCCCCCC